CAAAAAAAAAAAAAATATGTATTTATATACATACACACACACATACACATGCACACATATATCGATGTTTACCCCAAACATTTACCTGTGGCTTGATATAAAACCAGGATCTTTGAACATGTCTGTGCCACTTGTTGGTAGAAGCAGCCTAGCTTGGAAATCATTAGTGCCAGCTTTTGTGTCCGGCTTCCAGAGTTTAGAGTCTGGTCCCACCACCTACCTACCTGGGGTGTATTTTTTTAAATGGGAACGTCTGGCTCATTAACCAGGAATGAAGGGTAGAGTCCCAAATTCTTTTTTGTAATTTTTTGTGTTCTAATTGTTTTCCAGTAATTCTTTCTCTCTTTGATCATCATAGAGTCTCTTGGCAGCATTAAAACCGAGATTACCTTTGTCATTTCATCCCCCCCCCCTTTTCTTTTGAAAGAGAGAAAGAGAGAGAAGGAAAGTACATGCAAGGAGGGGAAGGGCAAGAGAGAATGTTTTTTTGGTGTTTTTTTTTTTTTTTAATTTGAGAGAGAAAGAGCACGAGTGGGGGAGAGGGTCAGAGGGAGAGAGAATGTTAAGCAGGCTCCATGCCCAGCCCGAAGCCCAACGCAGGGCTGGGGCTCCATCTCACCACCGTCAGATCATGACCTGAGCTGACATCAAGAGTCGGACGCCTACCCAACTGAGCCATGCAGGCGCCCTTCATCCCTTTTTGAAGCAAGCCTATTGGCCACTGTGGAGGCACCACAGAAAGGAAATCTAGTATACTGAGATATACAGTATTGTGAAAAATCACTCACTATTCAAATTGGCCTAATTATCATTACCTGAAGCTTGTAAAGCTGGCCTTTCATCTGGTAGGGTTTCTCATTTGTGTTTCCCTGCTCCCCGGGTGGTCTGGCTGTGCTGCAGGATAGAACATTACAGAAATGCAGCCAAAGTGAAAAGGCAGAGAAATGCCACCGAGGAAGGAACCAATGCAGGATTCGAGGTGGCTGAGAACAGGACAGCGTGCACACCACGGGGCAGGGGGTGTAGCGCTTCCTTGCAGAGAGGGAACGACATCCCGTCCCTTGCTGGGTGGCGGTCCCTGCGCTATGGCTGTGTGCACCTCAGTTCGTGCCGCAGCCTAGCTCCCTGACCGCTCCCTGTGGGGTCTCAAGCACAGGGAGCTGGGGGCAGCCTGAGGGCCGGGGGCACCTGCACTTCAGCAGAACATGAAGCACATTCCCTCGCAAGGAGGTGAGTGCAGCCCAGACTGTGAGGGCTCCATTTCTTGGTAAAGAAGTGTTCCAGACCCGAGACCCGTTCTTCCCGTTCTTCTGTGACCAAGCAGGGGCTGCAAAGACTGCGTGCACGAGGCTGCCTTTCCCAACACACGGATCCATGGAGGCTATTATCCACTGCAACCAATGTAAATAAGCTCTTCACTTTCTTTTTCCAGGTGAAGATGCCAGATGTGGAGTTTTTCGTTAATCTGGGAGACTGGCCTTTGGAAAAAAAGAAATCCACCTCGCACATCCATCCAATCTTTTCCTGGTGTGGCTCCACGGATTCCAAGGATATCGTAATGCCTACCTACGACCTGACTGACTCTGTTCTAGAAACCATGGGCCGGTGAGAGATGGGTCTAAGATGACCCAGAGCCTTGGTGAGTTCTTTCCCAGCAGCCTTTGCAATGTGACGGTTTGGGAGGAAAATCTGTTGCACTTTTTGTCTTCCAGAGTAAGTCTGGATATGATGTCTGTGCAAGCTAACACAGGTCCTCCCTGGGAAAGCAAGAACTCCACCGCTGTCTGGAGAGGGCGAGACAGTCGCAAAGAGAGACTGGAACTGGTTAAGCTCAGCAGGAAACACCCAGAACTTATAGACGCTGCCTTCACCAACTTCTTCTTCTTTAAACATGATGAAAGCCTATATGGTCCTATCGTGAAACACATTTCATTTTTTGATTTCTTCAAGGTATGACATCAATTGTGTCCAATCCTTTCTGTTTTTCCAAATGTCTTCACTTGGGGGAAGGAAACTGAGGCCTATAAATTCTAGGGGGTGAAAGAGGTGAGCACAAAATTTAGCGAACATCAAGGCATGAGGCCCTGGGGACCACTTTGGCAGCGTGAGGGGTACAAGGTACCCAGACCTGACATTAAACATGCATCAAGGGAGGGAGGCCTGGGTGGCTCAGGTGGTTAAGCGTCTGACTCTTGGTTTTGGCTCAGGTCATGATCTCACGGTTTGTGAGTTCAAGCCCCAAATGGGGCTCTGTGCTGACAGTACAGGGCCTGCTTGGGATTCTCTCTCCCTTTCTCTCTCCGCCCCTCCCCTGCTCGCTCGCTCTCTCTCTCTCTCTCTCTCTCTCTCTCTCCTTCACTCTCTTTCAAAATAAATACATAAATTTTAAAAATATATGCATCGAGGAAGCTTGGGGCCTGGGTAGGGCTAGAATTTTTTCCCCAACTCACCCTCAAGGTAAGCACATTTCAGCTCTAAATCCTTTCTTATTAATAAATACATGTATGTGATTTTACAAATTCTTCTCCCCAGAGCATCGTAACAGTCTAAAGAAGAGATAAACCAAGTATCTCACATCAGACTTTCTGATGGGGAAGTGTCTTGAAACCCATGCAAATGATCTGCCTGGGAATCCTGGAGATTAGGGAGACCTTTCTGTGTCTAAAATGTGGACTTTTTCTAACTCCTTTTTCTAACTCCTTCTTCTAGGCAGTGGGACGCTGCCCTATTCTCTAAACCACTAAGTGGTTTTTTTTTTT